TTTCGCGATGGCATTCGAGGATTGATCTAGTATTTATATATTTTATAATGTTACATATTTTTTGATAAAAAATAGAAAGATTAAGTTATACAACCTAATACAAGGTATGGTACCGTGAGCTGATTCTTGAAATTCTAAAATTTCAAACATTTTTCATACTCTCGAGGGAAAACCATTCCACACTTGTTTATAGATATACACAGTCCATCCTGTGATTTATATACACCTCTGCTTTAAAGAAATGACACAAGCAACTGTCACATAAGAATGTTGTACTTTTTTTCCTTGAAATTTGAGGACTCAGCAAACGAGATAGATTTGAAATCCATTTATAGTGGTGAATTGTTCCCTCTCCGGAATCCTCTTCGTTTTTTTTTTCAATTAAGAGAAGGTGAATCGTGGCCGTTTCATTTGGCAATATTGTAGCAGGATGTTTACTCAAATATAATGGCACAATCCAGGTTTTATTTGATGCTTCATCACTGTCAATCCCGTACACATTGATCGATAATTCGTTCATTTTCTTAAACTTTGGAATGTCTTTCAATGCCATGGGATACCCGAACATTCGATAATTCTAAATTATTGAACTGAAAGAGGAAGATGAGTTTGTTCGCTCTTTATGATCTACATTACATCGTGCTGCCATAATGGACTACAGAAAGCAGTAGGAATCCTCTGTATTCTGCACATTGACCACCGCATGTTTTTTCTGAATCCATTCGGGTACTTCAACGGAGCTGGACCTACTTCGCAGTGGATGATATTGATTAATACTCACTACTAAATTGATTACTTCAATCAACTTCCATCCGGAATCTTTCTCTTGGAAGTCGTTTGCTTTTGTTAAAAATTTTTCTTTGTCTCTCCTTGTTTCTCCTCCCATTCTCTGTTTGCCAATTAGAGACGGTAAATTCATTTTGGATACCGATGCTTCACAATTTGCGATTGGTACCGTCCTCTCGCAAATACAATTCGGTGAAGAAAAAATCATTCGTTACTTCAGTAAGTGTCTAAATACTGCGCAGAAAAATTATTGTGTAATGAGAAAAGAATTACTTGCTCTTGTCAAATTGGTCGAATCGTTTTTTTCATTACTTATTAGGGCGTAACTTCTTGATTCGTACCGATCATGTAGCTTTGAAATGGTTGACTTCTTTTAAAACTCCTCAAGGAATTGTTGCTCGTTGGTTAGAAATTCTTTTCAATTATGATTTCGAAATTTCACATCGACCTGGGCATTTACACGGGAACGCTGACGGTCTTTCACGCCGTCCGTGTTCTTGTAAACGATGCGAGAAAGCTTATTTCTATGAGAACTCTTCTCAGAAATTGGTTTTCATAACTCAATGCATAATGGATAGTGAATTCGATTGGGTACAATTACAGACATCAGATAAAATTCTCAACACAATTCTTCAATTCAAAGTTCGGAATCATCGACCAGATTGGTCAGAAATTTCGCATTTAGGACCCGATCTTAAGATCTATCTGTTGCATTGGGATTCACTTGAAGTCCGCAATAATATCCTTTTTCGTCGCTGGGAATCACCTGACAAAACAAAATTTGTTTACCAGGTGATAGTTCCCAAAGACACAATCTCTGAAATTCTTCCTATGGCTCATGACTCACCTGCTGGTGGTCATTTCGGAATTGACAAAACCTTCAGTAAAATTCGAGAGAAATTTTATTGGGCCACTTGTAAATTTGATGTCGAGAACTGGTGCAAGAAATGCCGGATTTGTTTTTCTAAAGCAGGTCTTCATTTTAAAACCAACGGCGAACTCCAAATTTACTATGTCGGTTTTCCTTTCGAAAGAATCGCAGTAGATAATTTAGGTCCGTTTCCTAAATCTTCTTCAGCAAATCGCTGCATTCTTGTCATTACGAATTATTTTTCAAGATGGCCTGAGGCTATACCAATCCCAAACCATCAAACTCGAACCGTTTCTGAAGCATTGATTCGCGAATTCACTTCTCGTTTCGGTGTACTTCTAGAAATTCATTCAGATTAAGGACAAAATTTTGAAACATCCTTGTTCAAAGAAATTATGGATTCTCTCGGAATTCATAAGATACGAACGACTCCTCTACATCCTCAGTCGAACGGTTTGGCGGAACGACTCAGCAGGACATTAGTCACTTATCTAGCCAAGTATGTTAATTTTAATCAAAAAGATTGGGACAAATGGATCCCGTTCTTCCTATTAGCTTATCTTTCCTCCAAACATGATACAACTCAATTTTCACTCGCTATATTGATGGTGGGACGTGTGTTACGAAACCCATTAGATTTGGTTCTAGGAATTCTACCTCATAATGATTACAACAATCTTTCAGATTACGTAATTGAATTGAGAGAAAAATTTGATTCAATTCATGATGAAACTCGAAATCATTGTGAATTAAAGAGTCATCAGATGAAATCTAGGTTTGATTTGAGGATCCATATGCTGTCCTTGACTCCTGGACACAAAGTATGGTTTTTCAATCCTAGGAGAACGAAGGGAGAATGCCCTAAGTTACAAAGGGACTGGGATTGCCCATTCATTATTAAAGATAAATTGAACGATAGAGTCTACCGAATTCCTAAATCTACTCATTCGAGACCAAAAGTCGTTCATGTGAACCGACTCGCTCCATTCAATGAGTAATGATTCTATCCAGGTATTTGCATCATAATAATAATCATGATTTTGGTTGATGGCCACAACTAATCTTAGAAGATTAATTTCTTTTAATTTTTCATCCTCGGGAAGATTAGAAACGACAACGTATTACCGCGGAATACTTGTCAACAATCAACACCTGATGTGAATGCTTGAATCGCATATTATTTACTTTCAACCTTTTTGAATCTTTTGGAACAATCTAAATCTGCCGTTTCCAACATTTATTTTCCAGTTCGAATCCTCAATTTCCTTCCTACTCCGTTGGCTGAATCTTGAGAGCCATCTGGACCTTGGAAGCTCACGCGAAGAAAAAGAAGATTCTCCCGTGAAGTCCCAATTATTTATTTCGAGTCAAACCTCCTCTCTTTCCTGTATTATCCGTCTGGGTTTTTGGAAGAGAGTTGGGTTGAAGGTCCCAGATAATTGAAGTATCATTTCAGTTATTAATTAACTGAAATTTCACTACAATTGCCTTTAACAGGCGCGTTGTTGTCGGGCGAGAACATTTCAAGAGAGGGAGTAGTGCTACGTATTTGCCGTTTTCCTCCCTCTCAATCACCTGTAGGATCGTCTCTTTCTTTTCCGTTATTCTTTTATCTTTTTTATAGTCCGCGGACGGGTCAATTCTATTTGTATTTCTTTTTATTATTTACTTATCCACTCCAATCTTTTAATAAACATTTATTTTTTATAAGATTACTCTTATAATTTTATAAGAGTAAGATGTCTGCTTATTTAACAATACGTTCTTCAAACCATTGCTCCATGTACGTTGAATGTCGAATAATTTGATTTTCCGTGTTGAAAGATTTTTCTTCTTCGATGAGTTGATCATCCTTCTGTATTTCATATTTATACGATAACACTACATTCACTTTCAAACTTCTATGTTGTCTCAATGCATTCTTCAATCATACGGAGAGCATCCTGCGGGAATCATTTAAAATTTTCACCAAATCATGATTTTTCAAATTGATGATGAAAACCGTCCGCATACGACTATCAAAACTGCTCTGTAGATCCTCCCATCGAATTCTGTCGATTAAATTATCACGTACACCTCCTCCGATGATTTCCAGATCTCTAAATCGTGCTCGAAAAGTTTTCAATTGCCCAAGCAAATGGGTTATCCGTCTCCTATAATTGGGATTAACACTCTCCCTCAAGAGTCGATTGACTTCCTTCACGTGACGTCTGATATCATTAAGCTGCTGTTGAATTTTCGCTGGTGTCCTTTGAATAAACTCATAACTTTTTTGTAAAGAACTCAAAAGTCTCCTGCACGTTTCGAAATACATGTTATTCTAGATTAACAGGCACCGTAGAACTCATAGGGAAATAACGGAAGCTTTGGTTGTGTATCTATATTCAATGAGCATGTCAATATGACAGAAATATTACGTGATTGGTTAGAAAGTATCACGTGAGCTATAGAGAAATCTTGCACTTTCTGACAATTATTAACAAAGAAGCAACAACGCATTCCTGGAAAAGCAACATCTGGAAAATCCCTCTGTCTTCAAACTTTGTTCCTTTGATATGCGTCGAACCCCTTTGCAGTGATGTGGATAGCTTTTATCATTTGAAATCCGCTCATCAGTTGATTGAATAATTAATGTGACCACGAATTAGTTAACCCTTAAATACCCGTAAATACCGTGAATTGCTAAACCCTTTGTTCCCCCCATCCCTCTCTTCGCGGGAGTGCATTGACTAGTTCGCGGACAGAGTCTCTTTTGTTCCAGAAAACCGCGAATTAATTAATTAACCCGCAAATTAAACCGTAAATCAAATCTAAACCCCTGAATTGATTAACCTTTTCACCCGCCATACCCCCGTAGTGGAGGTCTATTGGCTAACCTTTGATTAACCTTTTCACCCGCCCTACCCCCGTAGCGGAAGTCTATTGACCAGGACGTAGATAGAGCTAATTCTTTAATGAGGCCGTAAATACAACCGTGACCTGCCGATCAGACCGCGAATTACAGTGCAACTCGCGAAATAATCAATACTTTTACCCACTCGGTTCCCTCGCGGGGGCCGGTTGGGCAGATCTCTGCTAAAACGTTGGGCCAGAACCCGCCTTACCCATCTACTACTGGGAACCCTTTATCTGAGTGAAATTCTAATTGAGACTAAGAGAATCCTGTCATGCCATTGCTATCTTTTTCCAATTGTTCAAATTTGTTTTCTCATTCTTTTTTGATTGATGAAAAACTAGGAATAGGTGTTTGTTCGGGAATTTTTTCGGAGTCAATGGTGATTCTCTTGCGACAGAGTATTTATTAAATGAATGGACAGAAGATAATATGAATTATTTATTTAAGGTACGGAATCTCCGGAAATGTGAACATCCAAGGTGAAGAAGTGAAGAAACTGGACGTGCTGAGCAACGAGCTTTTCATCAACATGTTAACTTCCTCTTACACAACTTGTCTCTTAGTAAGTGAGGAGAACGAGGCAGTCATCGAAGTGGAAACCGAAAGACAGGGAAAGTATATCGTAACTTTTGATCCACTCGATGGCTCCTCCAACATCGACTGCCTCGTGTCTGTGGGTTCAATCTTCGGAATTTATAAAAAACCGGAGAATACATCTATTCTACAATTGAAAGATGTTCTGCAGCGAGGAAGGAGCATGGTAGCTGCCGGCTATGCTCTTTACGGATCTGCCACCATGATTGTCTTATCGATAGGGCATGGGGTCAATGGATTCACATACGACCCTGCAATTGGCGAATTCATACTAACTGAGAAAAACATGAGAATTCCGAGCAGAGGCAAAATTTACAGGTGAGTATTTTGATCATCTTTTTCTTTCTTCGTGAGTTGGAGTCGACTGGAAGCGCAATCAAGTATCGCGGTAGAGATACATACCAACGACGTATGTGTGTACTGCCAGCTACCGCTATACTTATTCCCAAGCGCCTTCCCCCTCTCCGAATATTCCCCGTTCCCAACAATAACAGATAGAGGTGCGCCAGATTCGACCAAAACAAGTCATTTGCTTCGTTTGTTTTGGTTCTCGATTCTCGATTATTTTCTCGATATCTCGATGTTTACATCGAGAATCGATATCTCGCTATCGATGGGAAAAGGGAAGTGGAAAATGGCAGCCTGTCGTTATGATTTATTGTGATATTAAAGAATAAGACCCTTCGTTATTTTTTGAAGCTCTCTCTAATGAACTGGATATGATGAAAAAGATTGTGGAACATGAATTTAAATATACCGATAGATGTCATGGATGCAAATATGTGAAAAAACGTGCAGAAACTAAAATAGTTTGGAATTAATTGATTGAGGATTCAAAGCTATCACCTACGGAATTGAATCATTTAATTGCTAAATCTTTGAAATCCTGATCTGATTCAAGTTCATATTGTAATAATTGTGGGAAGATTTGTCATGGATGCTGTTTATATTTAAGTTATCTAATGGAATGGCAAGTGTAAATGATGAAGATTGTTTATGATAGTCAAGATATATTTGGATTTAATATAATTGGCAAAACGTGTGATACAGTTCAATATAATAATATAACCGGAAGTAGTTTCTATAATTGCGATAACTTCAGTGTGAATAGTCGAGAGTGATCGATAAAGATGATATCAGATTTATTGGCTAGAAGAGCGCGAAGTATGAATTGATTTTATTTTAACACGCCCTCTCAATGAGAACTTTACTAGCGATTCGTCGTAGCCCAAGTCCATAGGAGCACCACTGGTGTTTCGGTCCTGTCAGTGGTTTCGTCAACACATCAGCAATCATTTCATTAGTGTTGAGGTATTTGAATTCAATTTTTCTCTCCTTGATGACGTCTCTGATGTAGTGATGGCGCAGATCAATGTGTTTTGTCCTTTGATGTAGAATTGGGTTGTGAGCTAGAAGCCTGGCTCCCTGGATATCGTTATATACTTCCAGCCTCATTAATTCATTCAACTCAATTTCTTCCATGAAGTTAGACCAGTATTTAGCCTTCTTCATGGCCTCTGCTGCACCCATGTACTCGGCCTCTGTTGAAGACGTAGCCATAGTCCTCTGTTTTTGTGATATCCAACTGATAGCTGCGTTGTTCATGATGAAGGCGAAGCCTGTGTATGACTTCCTATCGATCAAGCAGTTTCCGTAGTCTGCATCAACGAATCCCTGAATGCCTCTTGGTGATTTTTCATACCTTAATTCAACATCTTGAGTCCCACTGAGGTAACGAAGAACTCGCTTCGCAAGTTTCCAGTGTTGATCAGTATAACAGTGGTTGAATTGTGCTAGGAAACTTGTGGCATGAGAAATGTCAGGTCTGGTAGCGACTGCTGCATACATTAGTCCACCGATCAGTTCACGATATGGAATTTTCTCCAGGTCAGCTACCTGTACATCTCCCTTAGTTACTATTATACCAAGTTGTATAGGAGTACTCACAGGTTTAGCATCCTGCATGTTGAAGCGTCTCATGAGCTCTCGAATGTATCCTGTCTGCTTAACGGTAATTGTTTCGGTGCTTTGATGAATTTCGAGTCCTAGACAGTATGGAGCTCTGCCTAAATCCTTTACCTCGAAGTAGATAGACAGCTGATCCTTGATGTATTTGATCCATCTTGTCTTTTAATGCAATTAGGAAATCATCTCCATAGACAGATATTAGCATTAACTTTCCAGATTTCCAGGTGAAGTAAATGCATGGATCAGATATGGTCCGTTTCAACCCAAGTCGAGTGAGTACGTTGTTTACCTCGGTGTTCCACTGAAGGCCTGCCTGCTTCAGACCGTACAATGCGCTTTTTAGTGAGCACACAACATCCTGCTGCAATTTTGTCAGCATTTGCTTAGCAAGCTCGGTGATTTCACTGTTGCGTGGCTCTCTTCTGATGATTTCTTCAAGTGTTTCTTCCATCAATGGGGGTTTCCTCATGAATATCTCCTCGTCCAGAGCCCCATTTAGGAAGGCTGTTGTGATGTCGATCTGCTCCACGACCATGTCGTATTTTACAGCCAATGCCAGCAGTAATCGTATTGAAGTTAGTCTGGCGACAGGGGCGAAGATCTCGGTGTAGTCTACTTGAGCTTCTTGAGTAAAACCCTGTGCTACTAATCTGGCTTTCCTCTTCTGAAGTTGTCCATTGGGTAGGTACTTGTTGGTTAACACGTACCTGCATCCAACAATGTTTCTTTCCTTGGGAGGTTTGACTAGCTCCCAGGTCTGGTTTTTAATGAGGCTTCTCATCTAATCAATTATGGCTTCCTACCATTCAAGTGATTGAGGGCCATTTATTGCACTTTTGAAGTTGACTTCGGCGTTGAATGCCCATCCCAACACTTCATCTCCTGCCTCAGCATACTGTGTCTCCTGCACATTCCCGTCTCCCACAATTTTCTCTTCTTGAAATACGTCATCATCCTCAACAGTGATTTCAATTTGTGGTATTTCTAGTTCTTGTGCTGGAGGCTGGTCATCTTGATTGAAGGTAACAGGTTGGGGTGTTATTGGTGTGTTCGGTGCAGATGAGGTTGAGCCTCTTGATGATCCACTATATATAAATGTAGCTCGTACCATGTTGAATTCTTTTGTGAGTCTACCACGACGACCTGAGCGGATTCTCTTTGGTCTGCCTAGACCTCTCTTCCACTCAGTGATGACTTCAGTCGGTGCTGTAGGATTTACTTGGCCAACTTCTGTCTCGGCCTAGTCCTGATCCTCGAATTCGTCTGCTGATTTCCCTGATAGTATCTCAAAGTTACCACACTTGGTGTGGTTGGAGATGATGTCTTCCTTGTGTGGTTCATAGTACATTTCACCCAGGAATCGAACATCTCTGGTGATAACGACTTTTCTAGACTCTTTCAGGTAAATTCGGTAAGCCTTTGCCTCAGTGGAATAACCGACGAATATTCCATCGACGGCATTCGGACCCAGTTTGTCCTTGCTTCCCACTGTATTTAGTACAAAAGCGGTTTCTCCAAATGTCTTGAAGAATTTTAAGTCTGGTATTTTGTTGGTCCAGTACTCGTGTGGGGTTCGTCCGAGTAGTGTTGATGTCGGACATCTGTTTCTGATGTAATTTCCTGTACAGATGGCCTCACCCCAAAAGGATGGTGGTACCCCAGATTCCAGTATCATGCATCGAGCCATCTCCACGAGTGTACGGTTCTTTCTCTCGGCCACACCGTTCTGTTGGGGTGTATATGGAGCTGTGAGCCTTCGCTGTATCCCATTTGTCCTCAGGAACTCACTAAACTCCGATGAGATGTATTCTCGTGCATTATCGGATTGGAAAGCTTTAATCCTCAAATCCAACTGATTTTCCACCCGGTTTTTGTAGGTTTTGAATGCAGTGAAAATATCAGATTTCTTTTTTAGTATAAATACCTCGCACCAGCGTGAATGATGGTCAATAAATGTGGCGAAATACGAGCCACCGCCATTGGACTGTGTCCTCATCGGTCCACAAATGTCAGAATACACCAGCTGTAATGGCATATCACTCCTAGCTTCTCGTTTTGGAAACGGTAAGGTAGTTAGTTTGCCTTCCAGACAGGTTGGACATGGTGGCAGCTGTTCACCTGTATTGAGTGTGATGCCTTCGACACACTTGTGCTTCACCATTTCAGTTAAATCATGGGCATTTAGGTGTCCCATTCTCCCGTGCCAAATTTGAAGGGCACTCTTGGAATGAGTTTTCTTGGTGTCGGCGATATGAGCTGACTCAGTAGACTTCCTGATGTAGTATAAGTCTCCCCTTCTATCAGCTATCATTCTTACTCGGCCAGTATTGTCTTTGATAACAGCCTCCCTCTGCTTGAAGATGATCTCATGATCTCGATCGGTGATTTTTGCTACAGACATCAAATTTACACGCAGATCAGGAACAAAAAGGGTGTTTTCGAGCTGTACTGACCTTGTTATTTGTCCGTCAGATACGGGGAGACGGACAGTCCCCTTCGCCTGCACATCTGCTGAGGAGTTGCACGCGAGATTCAGTTTGTCCCGCTCTGCTGGTATCCAGGAGTCAAACATTGATTCCTCTTTGCACAGGTGTGACGTACTGCCGCTGTCCAGGCACCACTTGCTCACGCTGTCGCTCTCCTCAATTTGATAGGCCTTGTTGTCAGTCCTCACAGTCTCGACTAGATAAGACTCAGCTTCCTCAGTCACATGGGCTCTCTCTCGGTGATGTGTGTTATTTTGCCTCCTTTGTTGACGTTGGAATTGACCAGGCGTCCTGTTCTGCCCTTGTTCGTCTCGCCCAGGGCAATCGGTGGCCTTATGTCCAAATTCTCCACACTTGCTACACCTAAAGGGGAACTTTCGCCCTCTTGACCCATTACTTTGACCAGTGAAATGCTTTGGTTTGTTATTATTATTCGCATAATACTTTTTGGCGACTAGCATCGCTTGCTCATCACGTTTGTTTTTGGACTTTCTTTTCTCAAACTCCTCCAAAATTTTAATTCTACACACATCAGGGCTTGACAATGCATCACGTGACCTCATATTTCCAGCGAAATTTTCAAAGCTGTCAGGTAGGCTGTTGAGTAAGAGGGTTGTTACTAGGTCATTGTGATTAACAACATCCATCGCCTCAAGTTTATCAACGGTGTCGACGAATGCATTCACATGATCTTCTAGGTCATCCTCTTCTGCCATTCTTGACATCGTCAACATGTGTAGGAGTGTTGCCTTTTTAATTGGGCCGGTAGATGCGTAAGTCTCTTTTAATTTTGTCCAAACTGCTCTCGAGGTCGCTAATTTCCCAACTTGTTTGGCAATACTGGGAGATATAGCTAAAATAAGG